TAAGATTGTAGTTATTTCCGAAGATGTGTACGGCATTGGTGTACCATTGCTCAAACTCGCTTATCTTCGATGCAGACATCCGTTCAGTATTGAAGAACTCCTTAGCTGAAATTTCGAAAAGTCTTGGTACGTCCAACAGGAAATAAATACCTATGCAAGTTTACTAAGCAATTTCGAAAATTTATCTCACCTGGCACCGGGCCAATGTAGTTTTCGTTTTCAGGAGTATTAAATAAATACGGGAAAATCCTTTGAGGACCAGGTGGCTTATTCCGAGATCCTTTGAAGCTCCGCCAGACTTCTCGGCATAAACGAAAGCGTATCCACGAATCTAGCGTTCACTCCTGGTACTGTGATCAGAGTAAGACTGGCACCATCTTGAATTTTACGAGCATAATGTCCTTGGCCTTCAAGTGCTCGAAGGATAAAATAGTTATCATATCGTCGTCCGTTGTGTGACAGGAAAGTGCAGTGCTTTGTATGTTTGAAGATCCATTCAAGTAAATCATCAGCGCACGAATTGCCACGAAATGTCAGGCTAAAGTTATCGTCGTCCAAACACATAAGCGCCGCCATGTTTGGATAATGGTAGCGTGAATTATCCAAACCAGCTTCAAAATCGAAAACAAATTTCTTGCTCACAAACTTCGTAATCCGTACATCTGATGTAACTCTGTTCGCTGGTCCATTTTCCAGGTTGGAGACTTCCTTGCGAAAAGAGTCATTAAAGTCCGACTGTGCATCAGTCTCGTCAAACTCACTTGCTGACTCTGCTATAGTACTCTCGATCACTGAAATACATCCGTCGCTGTCATCATCGTCATCATTACAATCATCGTCGGAAACGTTATCATCAACTCCAATGCTCTTTGAACTAAGAGATTTTTTCTTCACCGCCTTTTTTGCTTTTTCTCCGCATAGAATAAAGCATAAATGACTGCGCTCCACCATTTCTTTACAATTTCTGCATTGAGTTGTGTAGCACTGATGCGGACCGGTATGGACACGGTTAGGTGGATTTACAAACACACCACACTCAGAACATCTTTTCCAAACTTCGCATATGGTTTTTTCTTTTGTGTAGTATCCTTTGTTCACCTTATGGTTGTCGAAACATTTCTTTGAATAAAACGTGCGATTGCAGTCTCCGCACAGAAAGTCTTCGCGAGGCCAATCGTATCGACCACGTCCGTAACATTTTACGCCTCCGCATAGATTGCAGAAACCAAAACACTTATGTTGGCGTTTATTCCTGTAGAACACACCGCATGTCTCGCAACGGCCATCGAATCCCATTAAAGCGTGAGGCTTTACCACAGCATCAAAGTGCTTGTTGTGGTAGATTAGTGTCACTAGGTGTTTACACTCCGGGGAATCGTACGTTTCAGCAAACTGGCATTCTGCGTCAATCACACGCAACTGGCAGTCATACCGCTCACGTAAAACTTGAGAAAATTTATCCAGTTCTATTAACCCGCATGGTTCCGGAAAAACTTTGGCTTCCCATCGTAACCTTTGGGCAAGATCGTGCTGGAATTTCTTGCTGGAATCTCGGATCTTATTGTAATTAGGAAGTTCCAAGACCTTTGCAAGCACTACGGCAATCACTCTAGAGCAGCACAGCGTATTATTCGGATCGTATTTGTTATTCGGCCGAATTACGACAACACTTTTACGCTGTTCGAGGTATTCCGAGAGTTTAAAAGCCAGACGATTCTTTCTGATAGAACGGTTACCTGCTCCAATAAGGTTGTGAACGACCAAGAACGTACAGCGAAATGACTCCGAAAATGTGAACTCAGTATTTCCACTTCGATTTGCACGTTCGATCAGATCAAGAACAGTCTTTGCTGTGAGTTCGACGGCCGTCTTGGTTCCCGTTGAAATAGCCCCTCTTGTTAGCGAGTCGTGTTGCAGAATTATACGAACGGCGTCGTGAGGCTCGACGGAGTGTTGATTGTAAAGGTAGTTCAAAAGGTGCTCAAACATGTAGTACAGACGATACATCGAACCTTCAGCGTCGGTCGGGTCTATATGGTCGTGGCGAAATATGGTAAAGCTGTCCTCAACCGTGTGAAACCTTGCAGATGGGGTTATCTGGCGAGTCTCTGGCTTTATTGAGTATGCCGGGCTACAAGTGCACACGTTTCTCAATTTTTCGAAAACATTCAGTAAACTAAACAACACAACAATTCCGTACAGCAGTTACCATGCAAAATCGAAAATTACAATCGATTAATAAACGAAAGTAAATGTAACAGATAGAAACAGCCACTAATATTTTGACATCAATATTGACATTATAAGTTAAAAGAACGCCATGCGGAGAATATTCTAATGCCTTGAGAGTAAACGTAGTGAGAAAATTCCCGGTCTTTAAGGAGATGCGACTTACAGAAGATGACCATAGGCATTCTGACGAGCAATCGGAGCCGGAGCATCCCTCGTGATGGCGCAGTCGACTTCCCAGCTCCTGTCATAACATCTGGCTGCCGTCGTAATACAAATTCTTCGTAGAACCGACGGTTCATTTCGCTTCGCAATCGTTCTTCCTGATCCAAGCGTTCACGACGCTGCCGCTCCTCCATCTCTCTCAGTTCACGTATGTAGACGTCGTATCCTTGAGCTCCGTGACCACCTTCCGCAAACAGCTGCGTCTTCGGACTTTGGTATTGCTGTTGAGACGGATGATAGTCTACGATGAAAGGTCTTACGATAGAACAAATATACTAAAACTAAAAAAAAAAAAAAAAAAACTGCTCTCCTCACTTGAGATGTAGTTGGTGTTGGATGCGTTGAAAATTGCCGGACCCGGAACGTACGAACCGTTCTGCTTCGTGTACCCAGACGTTGACGGTGCAGAAAAATCGTTGCGAGTTAGCATCCCAGTTCCGTTCTGGACAGCGTAGGTCGGTGAAACTTGACCCATGGGAGGAAAACTTGGGACGGCTGCTATAGTTTTGCCTTTACCAGCAAAACTCTGATGCAGACAATGGTACACTATAAGAACGAAAATTTATCGAAAAAGCATGGTACGGGATAGAAGGTTATAAGCCTTTAGACGATTTACAAAACAATTTCGAAAATCTGTTATCTTGCTGATATTTAACTTCTAAAATGTTTTTTTTAGAATTCTTATCATAAAAAATAACTTACTTCCAGTCGAGCTGGCCACAACTTCGTGCAGGTTTGGTTGAGAAAACCGTTTTCGCTTTGCAACTTTCATTGGAGCATCCGGGATAGGACGGCGCTTTGTGGATGACGCAGGAGATGGTGGCGGGGAAATGATTTCGATTTCTGGAACATCCGCACTTCCGGTCTGCAAGTAGACGTTCTCTTTATCAGTTCCCGATGTATCCACAATTCCCAGGCTTTCCAAAACTTCATTTCGTCATCGTTGGGCATGATTGCCGGCATAGAAGGATGGCGCGGATCGTAAATGTTGGCGCTCGTGTTGAGAATCGGCTCTTTCCGTCAAGCGTTGGTGCGTCGTTGCCAAAAAAGTGCGTACGGCGGATACTTCTGCATTTTCGGCACAGGATACGTACAGTTCGTCAGACGGTCGTAGTTCTCGGGTGCCAAGACAATGGCCATGAACATAGTGTAATGGTTGAGAAGAAACCCAAGCTCCTCAGCACCAAGCGAATGCGCGTACACCACTGACTCAACATTGGTTGGACGAATAGGCACCGTGTCAATAAACTCGCCCGCTGCCACTCGCTCAACACGATCGTAGTTAAGCTGATAAACTGTCTCGCCCAATTCAGTGTAAAAGTTGACCGAGAAACACAACGGACGATCAGCGTCGCCGAACAGATACACGAGCGAGCGCTCGTTCAAAACTCGCTGGGCTGCAACACCTCCTGCGGCCAGTACGACTTGCATGTGATCTCGCAGCTCATGTCCACGCACGTTGGTACCAGGTATTTTGGCAACAAAAGCGTTGACCAACGCCCGGAAGATAAGAGATTCTTTGCAAGACTTAACTCTGGATTTAACCTTTCGAGACATTTTCGAAACGACGACATTTGTGAAAAACAATAGGCGATTCCCTACACAAGCGATGAACTTCAGAAACGGGATTTTACGCGAACGAGAGACACACAAGTTCAAAATGTCAACTGATGAGATCAAATATCAAATGAGCCGCATATCTGACTTCGCGACAACGAAAAGCATCACTGACCTAGTTTGTAATAGATTCGTCCAATCAAATGGCTAGATACGATGTATAATCGTATCACGCTTCGTACAGCGCTAGCTGTACACGCCGCCCACCTTTGTATAATGTTTGCATAATGCAGGTGAAACTGAAGCGCAACAAATAAAATGCCATACATCTGTCAGTTTAATTGAGTGCAATTACATTGACTGCTGTCAAATAGACGCAAAGCAGCCAAGCGTGTTGAAACGCTATTCATACTGTTGTTATAATATCCAAGCCACGCGCGTTGGATTCATTCATTCGTACAGTATCTACAACGGATCACTTAGCGAAAGAAAAAACAACATGTGCGCGACAAAAAACAAACATTCGCGTATAATTAAAGGAGATTTTACAGTTGTTCTTTTCAACACCTTTTGAATAGTCTCCCGTTTAGTGAAGCAGTTGTCTGCTATGAAATTAGTGATAACAACAAGTCTGTGTTTTTCTTAGTGCCGTTTGCAGCTATAAACTCATAACCCGCTTGATACACAGCCACAATCAGTGACTCGATTTCGGGGATTTGATGAAATTCTTTGGAGCGCACACTCGCGTGCGCCAAGGATTTCTGTACCAGCTCAGCAAAAGTAGCCAGCACGTCGGCATCGTTGCCGACAGCGTCTTTCACCTCCGCCTCGATATCCTGAGTGTAATCCTTGGGAACGCTCAGGTCTGGCATGACAGCCTTCCCACTGGCACGAAAAGCCCGATTGCTGGGAACACTGTATCCCTGCTCTACAAATTGCTCGTCGAGCTCACGCTGCATCGCTTCTTCAACCCCTCAGCGGTTTCCAGATCGATCTTCTTTGGTTTGGAAGAGCACAAGTAATGGCGATCGTAAAGTGCTGCTTCCGCATTTAACCGGTTGATTTTCTCTTCATCACTTTCCCGCATACGCATCTTCATATATTCTTTATATGATTTTCGACCAGACATCTAAAGATATTTAGATTTTTCAGAAATTTTATTCAATTCTGTCTAAGCGAAGCGAAGCGATGCAGCGAAGCACATACAATTACGGCCCATTCACACAAGCGAAGCAAAGTAGCAGCTGGGCTAGACTACCGATACTCTAGTTTATTATTAGAAAAAAACATAATCAATATTAAGGAAAAATCATATAGCCACAATACCACATACAGCCATACACAAGCAGAAAATTTCGAAAAAGCTTGGTAAACTACCGTACATTTGTGTTACATAACATTACGTTACTCGGTAATTTCGAAAAAATTTTAAAAATTTGACACTTTAAAAAAATTTCTGTACATTGTAGTAAATTACGTAAAGTCTACAGGGAAGTAACGACTTGCGCACAGTTTAAGACATTTTTAAAATTTAATTGGAGCGCATGACGTGAAAGTACTGTACTGATTGCGCAGGTTGCGTATTGGCGCTAACAGAGCATGCATACTACTCGAACGCATTTATTTGTATTTGCATTTTAAAATAATGAAAATACGTAAAAATTCAAAGAAATCCCGTAGTTTTTTAATATTTATTTAAGTTTACAGTGCAGACTTACGTTTCTGCTGATGGAGAAAGCTTGGCAGGCGATAGAGAACAGGGGACCACGAAGGATCAGTTGCAGAGCTTGCGGGAGAAATGTAACAGGGTCTCCGTTGACGGATCCTGTGCATCGCAAAACCCAATGTCAGACCCGTGTTTTTATAAAATAAAAAATATTTTATAAGTTTCTCTACCTTTTTTGGAGGTAGAGGAAGAGTGTTTCGTTGTGGTACAGGCACAAATCGAAGATCGACGGCCAGATACCTGCAATCAGCACAGTGCACAGTACAGCAACAGGTGCTCAACAAAAAACCAACACCGCGGTACCAAAGTGCACTTTTCAGCAGAAATTTACTGAAATAATCAGTAAAAAAACTTACTGGGCTCTAGGTAGGCCAAGTGATGAAGGCTATCGACGCCAGAAACCTGAAAAAAAACAGGTCTGCTGAATTTTGTCAGCAAAAACACAACAAACAGGCACTCCATGCTAATCTTACGATATCAGCAAGCAACAGGTTTTTCTTACCTTATTCCACGAAGTGCAGACAGTTTTCCACGGAATCAGACACCGACGACACTTTTCAGCTGGAAAATTTATAAAACAACGAGAAGACAGGGATTTCGCCGCAAAAAACCGAGAGACAGACGTTCATCAAATTTTATAAAATATTCAAAATTCCAACACGATGTATCGGAATGCGCACAAGATGGCTACCAGCGTTCTTCGCAACGCTCAGTGTGGTGGCGCTGCGGTACGCACGCATATGCACAGCGCATAGTGCATACTCGCACATACGCGCATTTACGCGCACATATATTAATTTTTTATTTATACATACAAAACAACTTTACACATACAAAAAACGTATAAAAAACACAAAAAACTAATTAAAAAACAAAATTAAATTTGTAATTGTTTTTCGAGTATACCTGTAATTAGTGTACAGTATTACGTAAGGTATAATTAGCCCTAATTAGTGTACACCTGTAATTAGTGTACGGTTACGCGCCACTACACTAGATAATTACTTTACGCACGCACGTTACGCTCGAACGCACGCGAACAATAGATAATTACTTAATTATAGGGTACATTGTTGTAGAGAACAATAGAACGGGTCCAAACTGCTTGCTGAATCTACTAGAACGCATTCTGCGCCGGCACGCAGGAAACCATGTGTGTGATTATTTAAACGGTAATATCGGCAGTCGTGGTCGTGGGTGTTTGTCCGGACCTATGGTCAGAAACGTTAGCTGTCAGGTTTTCCTTTTTAAACTTAATTTAAGTCAGTGCAGGTAGCCCATATCCGGCTAGGATGACATCTATCATGAGATTTTAAACCTGGCTGGAGTTACGGTAATCGATTCTCAGACTATTTCTACGATTTCATGTCTGTAACCGACCAAAACGTCCGGACGACCAAGACGTCCGGTGGACGTTTCGGTCGTTAAACCGACCAAACCGTCCGGGGGCCAACGAAACGTCCGCCGTAAATTTTTCCCACCTAAAATTTTTTGCGTTCTCGATGCTCGATGCGACCTGAAGATCCTGAGGCTTTTCAGCTCGGACACTTTGGTCGGAGCACTGTTTCAGCCCGGACACTTTGGTCGGACCACTATTTCAGCCCGGACACTTTGGTTGGAACACTGTTTCTACCCTGCTCCGAATCAGACGCAAAAAATTTTGGGTGGGCAAAGTTTACGGCGGACGTTTTGTTGGCCCCCGGACGGTTTGGTCGGTTTAACGACCAAAACGTCCGCCGGACGTCTTGGTCGTCCGGACGTTTTGGTCGGTTTCCCATGTCTCAAAGAATACACCCTTTAATTACAACCGTCGCGTACGGTCGGTCCTCGTCCCATTCAGGACATATCCCGTGCTTGTGGAGTTGGCCGGCTATCAAGCTCTTCCGGCGCATTCTTCGACGTTTAGTCCTTTCCTTTTGGATTAAGCGATGGAGCTTGGGTAACTTTGACGATTTTGGCTGGGTTTTCCGACTGTGCCCGATGACCTGTTTGGGATCGCGCTTCGGTAGATTGCATCCCCGGTTCTCGGACACATTGTAGATCGCAAAGCAATTTTTGGGTAGCCGTTAACCCTAAAGCTATCGCCTTGACGGTTGCCTTTTGGACAAATTCGTAGTCGGCCCCGGTAAGTTTTGTTCGGTTTCCTTGTTATGCGGCCGGTATTTTGGGTCGACCAGCTGAGGTTTGTTTGCTGCACTGTTGACCTCCAACCGCCCAGTTAGGTCACCAGCATCTTCGACTCTACGCGACGAAACTGACCAAAGCCCAACGGAAAGCAGTACGGGCCATTACTGATTACAAGCAGCGGGTAACTCCCGAGCTGTATCAGGAGTTGCGCATCCTGACGCTATTTTACCGTTGGAAAAAGTCGGAAGCCGTCAGGTTGTACAAGATCTACAACCATGGAGTGTGCAAGCCTCCGCCCTACATGGTTGAAATGGTCGACTTCAAGGATCTGTCATCGCAGTGCAATCTCCGTCCGGAAGCCGAAACGAATCCATGCCAGAGCAAAACAGAAAATCGGAGAAAGCACGCTCGCATGCGATTAAAGAACGTTTTTGAGCTTATTCAAAAAGTTAATTCAGAAATATTCAGTGTTAGCGGTGTTGGTATTTTCAAGTTCGCTCTGATACGCGTTGCTCTGTCTTAATAATAGCTTTTGTACTATTTTTTGCTGCATTTTTACCGACCAGACATTGAAGTCCTGTTAAGCGGGTTGTCTGCTCCTGATACATGAATGAATGACTGAATGAACTGAGTATCTCTCGCCGGGTAAATTCTTCCTTACGATACTGCTTTCCAAACAGAAGAAGATTGGATCCCGCCATCCGAGATAATATCGGTGCAGGGTGTTGCATCCGGTGGGAACAGGTGTTGCATCCGTCTGGTTATCATACACACCCGTTGAATGGCAGCTTGCCTGTCTGCCAAGCTGCAGTACGATTCCACTCGAATATTGCTAGAACCATACCAGCCGTCTTGATCCGCTTAGTGATCGGCTTTCCAATGCTTAAATAGTTGGGAAGCCAATTTCCCTGTTTGTGTATTTCGGTCCGCTCTGGATGGCCCTTCAAGGGCAGCATGTATGGGCAAAATCGTTATCGGTATCCGCTGTCCCTTGTTTGGCTAATTTTTTTTCCCATGGTGGTGGTCTTAGGCCGATGATATCCATCCTGAACGACGATCGTCAATCGGCCTGGTATCTCGTGGTAATCGTTGTAACGTGTTTTCGTTCCACCGTGTGAGGAGCTGGTCGGGATGTGATTCCGATGCCGCATCTATGTAGTTATCGGTAATAGTAAATTAGTAACGGATGCCGTCTGACTTCCGCTCCACCATCGTTTCGTCCACGTGGATGATTCTGGTCTATATCTGACGGTGAACCGTCCGCTCGTTCCTCTATTTAGCATCAGAATGTTTGGGTACCGCTGGTACTGGCGACTCACGGTCGTCGTCATCGTCTCTGCCCAATTTCAGCGATCCGTCCGCTTGTTGGCTGTCGTCATCAGCGTCCTCGTCATCCTCCCCTTCTTTCTCTTCTTTGGAAGGTTTCTCGAAATCTTTTTCCTCCGCTTACATTTTCTTTCTTTTAGCCCCACCTGACCTTTTGTAATTGTTCGGTTGGGAAATTGATAGATCCATGGGTGAGGGAAGGTGGGATGTTGACGGCACAGGTTGGGTGTCCTTTGATGCAAATTTTTTTCTCCTGCCCCGAGCTTACCCGACTGCGTTTAGGGCCACTCGCTTTATGGTGGAAGTGCCGCTTGGGGGGGGGGGGCGAAACACTCTGACTCAGGATCTTAAGTTCGCCAGGCGCTCGTTGTCGGTTGGTGGGAGTTCGGCATGCGACGCTGCCCCCGACGGCCTGGTAATCTTCTGCTGTTCCTCCGCAGTTCTTCTTTGGGTTCATCCTGCGGTCTGCCAAACCATGCATACTCCGTTTTATCGTGTACGTAGGTCATAAATTCGTTGACTGCACCACGACCGAAAATATTCACTGCAATTGCTTTTCCCACCACCCGCTATCTTATCAAACAGCTTCAGCCTTTTCGCTGGGGTAGTCTTTCCGATTCGTGCCCTGGCGGTGGTGTCGATTTACTTCTTCCGGTACTGGACGTAACCTTGTCGGCATCCTTGAGCGGAATCAGCTCGTACATGTTGGCCGGCACTTTAAAGCAGTCCCGGTTACGGAACTTGTTCAGCCACACTGCTGCCTTCTGGCGCCATCAGTTGACTGCTGCGGTTATACCCAGCCGTTGGTACAGTTCCGGTGTTACCCGTTCCATGTCATCGGTGTCCAGTAATGGTCCCTAAGGCTCCATGCTGCCGTTTCATGAGCTCTTTGCTCTCCCGAAGGACGCTGCCGATCAAGCCAAAGCACAGTAATCTATGCATGCTGGACGATATCGTCGTGAGAAAGACTCGCTGAAATTTAGTCAGTCCAGATTTCGCGCGTTTGATCTTCTGGATGCCGATACCGCTTGTCGCATTTCAGATCTTTCAAGTAACGAACTGCTTCTTAGGCGTCGGAAAATCTACAGTTCTACACTACAAGCTATTATCCGAATCACCCTCAGCGGGAGGTGCTGGTGCGCCATGAGGAATTCCATGTTGGCCCATGGAGACATGTTAGAGCAGCCCATGTTAGCCCTATGACTTCCATGGCAACAAGCTTTTGAGTGACCACTGGGAGGCACTCTCCGAACTGAGAAGATTCTGTTGCAATTTGAAAGACTCAGATCGATTGAGTTGAACTTGAGATAACTGTTAAGGAAGGAAAAGGGCCGAAACCTTACAAGAAATGTATACCGTAGTACTTTGTATTTGTTAATAATAATTTTTCGCAATTGCTCCACTTAACCATAGCCATACACTTAACCACAGCATATGGTTAAGTGCGAACGTATGGTAAGTGTGGATACCATACAAACTCGTAGCTGACTTCCAACATCTCCTCTTAACTCCTGTATACTTTAACTTTGTTAGAGGTAAACTTTTCAATTACAGAAAACATCAGAGAATTTAAATCTTGATGTTTCAAAGGATTCCACACCACGTAGCATGAGGAACAAAAAATTCAAAGACCACTAGAAATCTGTTGCGAACGTTTTAAGGTGTTCTGTATACTGCCGCTTCGTTGCGGTCGTCTGGCTACACGATAAGTGATGGTTAAGGTATGGTTATGGTGGTTTCTGCGAAAAGCCTCTAATAAGTAATAACTGCCAGCAGTGTGATCCGTCGTCGTCTTAGTGCTGTGCTGGGTTAACGCCATTAAAGCCATACTCGTACGCAAACGGAAAGTAAGTTGCTCCATTCTACATTCGAATTTTGGAATCCACCTGATTCATAATTTAAATGTTTATAGAAAAATCACTATTTTACCGCACACTGCGTTAAAATAGCTGCTCAGCTATTTTGCCGCACTATGGTCGGCAAAATAGTCAGTTGGCTATTTTGCCACACCATTGTTGCAGCCTGTCGCCGCGCACTTTCAATGAGCTGTGTACGGTAAAGTGCTGGAAGTTTTGCAAAACAGCGTTACTTACTTCAAACAGAATCTTACAGAGCGTTA